GCATGGTCGATTTCGTGAGACGCTGATTTTGCAAATAAGAAAAACTTTTTTATATTAACCAAAATTATCATCAATTCCTTGAAACTCTAATTCAACTTCAATTTCATGATTTATACCCCAATTTAGCCAAATTTCACCAGTTAACCAATTTTGACCCTTATTCCAATTTTGACAGCTAGTCTCCGGTGTTGATTTTTTATTTTTTTTAAACATTTGTTTTATGAATATTTTTTTCCGGCAGGTCAACCACCGTTAACCGTCGGTCTCCGGTGTTGATTTTTTTTTTAAATTTATTTTTTCTTAAAAAAATATTTTAATTAATATTACTGTCTTGGCTGCTAAATTACTGTCTCCAACAGTAATTTAACTGTCGGAGAAAATAATTTAACTGTCTCAGACGGTAATTTTACTGTATTAATTAATTTTATCATCTTGACCTGCAATTTGCTGTTTAGGGGCGGGTAATACCCGAGAATTTTGGGGCGGGTCTGGGCGGGGATCATCGGAGCGGGTCAAATTGCCATCCCTAGTCTCGGCCTCCACCACCGACTCCTATTATAAAGAACGTGCTTGCCCCAATTACCTCTTCTTCACACTCGGCAATTAGGCCATCAACCTCTATCTCGGCCTTCACCTCAGCCTCCACCATGATTTTTCCCGTAGACCGAATTCGTGTCTTGCAATGGTTGAATACCAACTGGTTGAGCATGATTGTTCTTCACAAGAAGACCAGGTTCTTCTCAGCGAGGAGTAGAACTGTGATCAATTCTGAAAACATGATATAGTTCTTGGCTTTGTCCTCCTATGAGACAATATCAGATGGGATACATGAAATGTAGAGTATGTTTTCTCCAGAAGCTCATCATCAGTAAGTTTTGTCTTCATCAAACTCCAGGGTTTATTTGATGAGACATACTTCAAATTTGTACTCATTTACGACTTTAAAGTCCATAAATCGTAAATGAATTCACTTGTTTCTTTCTTCAGGCAAGAGGATAGTCTTTTGATAATCAAAATGACTAGTAGGGCATCCCGTAACTTCTGGGGATGCTCGATTGATGAATAGCCCAAACAAAGGATCTTCTCCAAGTACTTCTTAACTACAATCATGGCCTCAGCCTTCTAGACTTCGTTTAGTAAATTTTACTTGAAAATAGCCTTTCTTAGTTTTTTACTAGTGAGATGGATCTTAACATCCATTGTCCAACTCACATAGATTTCACCAAATACATTGACAGGGGTAAAATCAAATTTGCTCATATATTCCATCCAGACATATACAGACAAAGCATTAATGAGAGTCAAATTTTGTTTATCACTTATATGTCACAAAATTTGATGATAGGTAAACATTGGTGAACCAAACATGATTCCAAATTTAACAACTACATATAAAATATAACATGCCATCATAAAGAACATATATAATTCTCACGAGTTCTATAAAGTAATTTAAAATTAGTACATGAGTTGACGACCTATTAAATAAATATACATGCATGTATAAAGTTAAATCCACAAATTTATTTACAATCATGTTGGATAAGAAATAGGGAGAATTATTAATTATCAACATGAGAATTTTTTAATACGCCCAAATGCATGGTTATCATAATGCAGATCCATACTTTATATATTATAGAGCAACCAAATTGAATAGGAAATAATCATATCCACCAAAAAATTGACAAGTATTGTAAATAAATCATTACCGTAAACATAAATCCAAATTGAGCATATCTATATAATATGGGACTATTAGTGAGAATCCCCTCTATCATTTTTTTAATAAAGATGGGTCCAACTCTTTTTCTTTTATTAGTGATAGATCCAACTTCTTTTTATTGTCAAATTTACCCTTCATTCCTTATTATTCACTCTCAACTACTTTAATGCCTATTTAATTTTTTTAATTATAATATACGTTTATTTATTTAAAAATATTTATTTTAATTTTATTTTCGATTTTAATTTTGAACTTTTTTCAGTTTTTTATTTGAAATCGATTATAAAATTTCTGAAAATAACTATATATTTTTTTAAATCAACTATTTCTAAAATCAACTATTTCCGAAATCAACTATTTCCATAATCAACTACAAATTACTGAAAAAATTACTTTTTTTTGTTCGTTTATTTCTCTAATCAAATATAATATTTCCGTAAACAACTACATTATTTGCAAAATCAATTGTTATTTTTTCAATTTTTCTAATTCATTTTTTCGGTTTTTTTCCCATCTGATTTACCAAATCTACAAATTACTACATATTATTGAAACAACTATAAAAATCGAAATCAACTAAAAAACGTCGAAACAACTAAAAATAAATGAAGTACATTTTTTTTCATTTTTCTAATTCAATTTTTTTTCAATTTTATTTTTCCAGCAGATCATATTATTGAAAAAAAACTATAAAAAATTAAAATCAACTACCAAAAAAACCAAAAATCAAATAAAAATGTCGAAAACTGTTTTTCTTTTATCACGGTGCCCACCCTAATTTTCTTTTATCGACATTCTATTTCGTAACTGTGTAATGTTTTTTTTAATTTTTCGACATGTTTGTTCCAACCGTGTCATTTGTTTTATGGAGTTTATTATTAATCATCCGTTGAAATGTATATGTATATATAACTATCTAACTTATATATTTTTTCCCAGTAGATCCATATGGATAGCATCATATCATATAAAGAGATGATCCACATGTATTCTATTGATGGATTTTACATAATCTAAGTTATGTTTTTCCGTCATATTATTATACTTGCAATGATTGTAATCTTGATTTTGATGAAGAAGATGTCAAGGTTAATGATGTTGATTATATCTTAGATAAAACGTAATTTGTGTAT